GGGCATTGCCTTCTGGTCCCTGGTGACACTGGGGTCATCCTTCATCCCCAGAGAGGTGAGGCCCCGAGCTGGCCGCTGCTGTGGCCACACCCCGCTCCCCCGCTGGTCTTGGCTGCCGCTCCCTGGGAGTCAGTTTTCCACAGGCCCGGAGCTTCTGCGATCTCCTTGGTCCGTGCTGTCTTATACCCTTCCTTGTCTGAGTTCATTTGCCTGCTGTCCCCTCCCCCTTTCTTCTAGAATCTTCTTCCATCCATCGTCCCCTCTTCCCCTGCCCACTGGTTGCTTCCTCGCCATCCCCGAGTGCTCATGTTTCTGTACGGGGGAGGCTGCCCTCGCTTCCTCCTCCCCTTCCCAGCAGGCCCCTCGGAGCGCAGGGCAGCTTGGGGGAAGCAGCAGGCAGGGGAGGACTCTGGCCTTGTCCGCACCTCCTCGTCTCCTGCCCACCGACTTCTGCCCTTGCCAAAGACATCAGTCGCCTGGTGGCCAGGGGCACCTCCTACTGCCTGGTCCCGGTCTGGCTAAGTCCCCTGGGAGCCTTTGGCACTGCTGAGCCGCTGATCCTCCTGCAGCGTCTGCGTCCCGGGCTGGGGCTGTCGCTTCTTTGCTCCTTGGTAGCCGGCTCCGTCCTCTGCCCTGCAATGCTGTGCACTCTCCTTGGGTGACCGCGCCCCGCCCTCAGCGTCGGGCGCCTTTAAGCAGCCAGATAACCGCCCACCTCAGCTCCTCAGTCACCTCTGGGTCTCCTGGGTGGGATGGGCAAGGGAGGAGCTCCGCTTTGTTTCGCACCTGTTGGGTGCACAGGAGCCGGAAAGCGGCCACGTGAACGAGCTGTCGTTGTCCCCCTTTCGCAGGTGAGGAAGCTGAGGGTCAGAGAGGTTAGGTTACTTTGTCACGGTCACAGCTAGGCAGGGGTGGAGCCAGGATTCCAGCCCACGTGTGTCTGATGCGAAAACCCAGGCGCCTCCCCCGGAGCGGGCTCGGGGCGGCTGGTTCCGCGGCGGGGTGCCAGCACCCCCATGTCTCCTTCCGCAGCGTTTCTGGCTGCTCCTCCTGACCCGGGGCCTGGTGGGGGTCGGGGAGGCCAGTTACTCCACCATCGCCCCCACGCTCATCGCCGACCTCTTCGTGGCAGACCAGCGGAGCCGCATGCTCAGCGTGTTCTACTTTGCCATTCCCGTGGGCAGGTGAGCGGGCCGGGGCCGGGGGCGGGGCCGGGGGCGGGGCCGGGGAGGGGGAGGTCCAGGGCCTGGCGTGGGCGGTGTCACTGACCGCCGGGCCCTCCTGTCCCTCCCGGCCCCGCAGTGGCCTGGGTTACATTGCAGGCTCCAAGGTGAAGGACGTGGCTGGGGACTGGCACTGGGCTCTGCGGGTGAGTCTGGCTGGGACCTGGGGGGGCGCTCTCGGGGTCCCCCTTTCCTCTCTACAGACCTCCCTCCCTTCCCCCCACCCAGCCCTGCTCCACTTTAAACTTTGCTTGTTTGTTTTTAAGATTCACGTATCTGAAAGGCCGACAAACAGATCTGCCAGCCCCTGTGCCCTCCCCAGATGCCCACAACAGCTGGGGATGAGCCAGGCTGAAGCCAGGAGCTAAAGACTCCTTCAGGGTCTCCCTCATGGGTAGCAGGGGCCCAGGTTCTTGAGCCTCCACCTCCCAGGTGCACTAGCAGGAAGCTGGGTCGGAAACGGAGTGGCTGAGACCGGAGGCAGAACTCTGTGGGATGCCGGGGTCTCCGGCAGCAGCCTAACCTGCTGTGCCAGGGCGCCCGCCCCACTCAGAGCCCCGCTTGTTGGGCAGCGCCTGCCGTGCGTGCCCCTGGCTGTCCTCACTGTGAGGCGCCGGCAGGAGGCTGCGTTGGCTTTCCTGACCGGGAAGTCCCGGCGTGAGTGAGGCGTAAAGCCGAGGCCAGGCTGCACCATGTGTTCTCTCCGTCCTCGTCTTCCTGTGGCGCAGAATCCTGCTCGGATGGGAGGAGCGTAGAATCCAGCACCGAGGCCTGGCCGCAGCTGGGATCCTGCCTGAGCCGTGTCTGATTGAGAGAAGTGGGGAAGAGAGGGTTTCCCAGTAGAGAATCCAGGTGCTTTTACCAAAGAGGCAGCAAAGTCAGGCCTGCCAGAGAGGGGCCCCCGGAGCAGGCGTTTGGCACAGCGGGTGTGCTGCTGCCTGAGGACATGGCAGGCCACGGCAGGCCATGGCAGTGCCCCGGGTTCGAGTTGCAGCTCCTCTTCTCAGCCAGCTTCCCGCCACTGTACCCCCTGGGAGGCAGCAGGTGAGGGCAGGGGCCAGGCCCCGCCATGTGCAGGCATTTGGGAGTGAACCAGCAGGTGGGAAACCTGCCTGTCACTCCACCCCTCAGATCAAATGAAAATAAAGAGAAACAGGGAGGCAGCCCCCGCCCCAAGACTGTAGGTGCTCATCTGTTGGTTGGGGTCCTTGAGCAGTTCTTGTCTGCCTCCTTCTCCCTCCCCCAGCCCCACAGTTGAGGGTATGCCTGCCCCTGCCCGTGCCCGTGCCCAAGCCTGCTCTTTCCCCAGGTGACACCAGGTCTTGGAGTGGTGGCCGTCCTGCTGCTGTTCCTGGTAGTGCGAGAGCCACCACGGGGAGCCGTGGAGCGCCACTCAAATTCGCCACCCCTGAACCCCACATCGTGGTGGGCGGATCTGAGGGCTCTGGCAAGAAAGTGAGTTTAGTCCCATGCTAGTCCAACATCTGGAGGCCTCCCAGGGACCCCTTGAAGTCAGGTTGGGATTGGATTTTAAGTGGGTGTGGTCTGGTGGTCTCCCCCACCCTGGCCAGGAATTCAGTTGGCACTGCCCCCTTGTGGCAGATGGTTCTATTGCAGGCCCAGGCCTTGGGCGTAACCGTGCCTACATCCTAGGTCCTGATCTTAGTGAACTGAGCCAGGGAGGGTCTTTCTTTGTCACCCCCCGCTGGGGTCTGAGCCCACCCCACTGTCTGCAGCCCTAGTTTCGTCCTGTCCTCCCTCGGCTTCACGGCTGTGGCCTTCGTCACCGGCTCCCTGGCCCTCTGGGCTCCTGCATTCCTGCTACGTTCCCGGGTGGTCCTGGGGGAGACCCCCCCCTGCCTTCCTGGAGACTCCTGCTCTTCCTCAGACAGGTACCCCGGGGGGCGGTCCCAGAGTCTCCCTGTGTCCTGGCTTGGGGGATACTGGGAAGCTCTGTGCCCACCTAGCCTGGGCTTGTGAGGGTGGCCAGCGGGGGGACTTGGCAGGCCAAGGCGCTAGCCCCTGTGGCCCCCCCCCCCCCCGCTACCTCCAGCCTCATCTTCGGGCTCATCACCTGCCTCACTGGGGTCCTGGGTGTGGGCCTGGGCGTGGAGATCAGCCGCCGCCTGCGCCGCTCCAACCCGCGGGCCGACCCCCTGGTCTGTGCCGCCGGCCTCCTGGGCTCCGCACCCTTCCTCTTCCTGTCCCTCGCCTGTGCCCGCGGGAGCATCGTGGCCACTTACGTGAGTAGCCAGCGCAGGTTCAAGGGAGGAGGATCGTGTCCTGGGGCAGAGTCCCAGCTCTGGCCCTTCCCAGCCTTGGTGGTGGTAGCCTAGGAGCGGCCGCGGCGCGGGTCTCCCTCGGGGTGTGGGGAGGACTTGGGGAGTGGGTCCCTGTGAGGCCCCTCCCACCGCTGTGTCCAGATCTTCATCTTCATCGGAGAGACTCTGCTGTCCATGAACTGGGCCATTGTGGCGGACATTCTGCTGGTGAGTGGCCGGGCAGCCCTCTCCCCCGCTGTCCTCAGCTTTGGGAGCAGGGACTAGGGTTGGGGCCCCACGTGCTCTGCAAAGCCCAGTCCCCGAGGGCCCTGCGACCTTGGCCCCTGTCACACCTGTGATCTCAGCCTAGGCTGAGCCATGGCCCTGTCCTGCGCCACCTCTCCCCCCACCTCGCCGAGAGCCTCCACTGAGGCCCCTCCCTCCCCCCTCCCCCAGTACGTGGTGATCCCCACACGACGCTCCACCGCCGAAGCCTTCCAGATCGTGCTGTCCCACCTGCTGGGCGACGCTGGGAGCCCCTACCTCATCGGCCTGGTGAGCCTCACCCCGAGCTTGGGGGTCCTGTTCTCCCAGCACTGGCCGGTGGCCTACCTGGGCGGCTGCAGGCGCTGGGCACCCTATAGCCTCCCCTGGGTGGGGAGGGCTTTGTCTTGGCAGAGTCCCTGAGGGCCCACCCCTTTCCCATGGCTGTCCCGGCTGCCCCTGACGCTCCGCCCTGCCCCCCGCAGATCTCCGACCGCCTCCGCCGCAGCTGGCCGCCATCTTTCCTGTCCGAGTTCCGGGCCCTGCAGTTCTCGCTCATGCTCTGCGCCTTCGTCGGGGCGCTGGGCGGGGCGGCCTTCCTGGGCACCGCCATGTTCATCGAGGGTGACCGCCGGCGGGCGCAGCTGCACGTGCAGGGTCAGTGCGGGCCCCGCCCTGGCTCCCGGCCGCTGTCTCAGCGCTGGGGCTGGCGGCTCTGTGTCCCCCTCCTGGTGGTGGCTCTGCGGGTCTGCTCCAGCTGACCTTCCAGCCCTGGCTCTGACCCCGCCCCCCACAGGTCTGCTGGCCGAGGCAGGACCCGCAGATGACCGCATCGTGGTGCCGCAGCGTGGCCGCTCCACCAGGGTCCCCGTGTCCAGTGTGCTCATCTGAGTGGTCGTCCCTCACCTGTCTGCACATCTGCCGCCACGGGCCCTGGGGCCCGTCCCACGAGGTGCCCGGGCCTAAGCCCTCAGCCCGGCCCAGCTTCCAGGAGGGACCCTGGGCCCTGTCCAGCTCCCAGACACTACATGGGCAGCCTAGGGGAGGAGTTGGGGGTCTGGGGTGGGGAGGGGGTGGGGTCCCCTCCACTGGAGCAGCCCCAGGGGGTTGGTGCTATTTGTAACCGAATAAACTTTGTAGCCAGACCCCAAGTGCCTACCTGAGTCTTTTGTCTGGATGCTGGTGACCCCTGACCTCTGGCTGGCCATCTCCAGCCCCAGGGCTCCTGGGGGCGGCGGGGGCGCTGCCGGGGGGCCACCGGGCCAGTCCCTGTGCTGTGGGGCTAAGCGCCCAGCAGTGAGGACCGCCGTGCCAGTGAGCTGGCTCCGTGTGACCCTGAGTCACGGCCGGGCTTACTGGAGCCCGCCCCCCCTCCGCACACAACCCCTGGCCAGCCTGGGCGAGCTGGGGTGGGCGCTGCCCTCTGCCTGGCGGAATGCCTGCCGCCGACCCCGACCCCCGGTGGCTTGCCACGGGCTTTCACTCCCACGGAGGAGCTGCCTCTCGTCCCACGGGCAAGTGTCCCTTCGTGAGAACCCTGACGGGGAGGCCTCCCCCTCCCCACCGGCTGGGTGGGGGTGGGAAGGGGCGGTGCAGCGGGCTGGGAGCCCGATGATTTCCTGCCTTCACCCGGTGCTCACCACAGCTTCCTGCCGAGGACGGGCGCCGAGGCGAGGCGAGGCCAGGCGGGCGTCTGGCCCAGGGCAGGTACCGCTGGGGTGCAGGGACCCGTCTCACGCTTGCATGGCGTGGCTGGAGCCCTGGACCCCAGCCCGGGCCCTGGCCTGACCTAGGGGGCTAGGGTCCCCCAGAGCTTGCACAGAGCCCAGCCCCCACAGAGGGCTCCGCTGCCCCCTACCCCCCACCGCTGCGCCCTTCCCCGAGGACCTGGGCCAGGCTCTGCCCAGCAGATGGAGGTGAACGTCCTTGGACACTCGGCGCTGGGCCTCCTGCTGGGGCCGCTCCTGGCTGTGCTGCTCATGGCCCTGTGTGTGCGCTGCCGCCGGCTGTCAGGTGAGCAGGGGCTTGAGGGCGGGGGTGCACCTGCTGGAGTCGCTGTACAGTCCCCGGCCCCCCTCGCCTGCCTCCGCCTGCCACCGCCCCGAGCCCTGGCCCCCGCCTCACCAACCCCTCTCTTCCCCCAGATTCCTACAACAGTGCCTCTTCCTCGGATGGGTGAGTGGGTCCCCTCCGCCCCGTGCCTGTCCCCCGCAATTCCCCACAGAGGGCTGGGCGGGGGATGGGGGGTCTGGCTCAGCTCCAGCCCCCACCTGTGTCTCTCTTGCCAGTTTGTATCCCAGGAGCATCTTGATCAAACCGCCCTGTGAGTAGTTGGAGGCGCCCCTGCCTCTGGGAGAGAGGCTCCCTCCGTTGGGTGCCCCCTCGTTCTAGGTTGCCCACATGGCTTTGGCTTGAGCTGGGATGGGGAGTGGGGGGCGGTCAGGGCACCAGGGCTTCGAGGAAGGCGGGAGATGCGGGTCGGAAGTCACTCTTCCCAGCTCAGCTCTGTGTCCTCAGATACCCCTGCCCCCTGGCCGGCTGTTACCTCCGTTCCACCCCTGAGCCAGCCAGACCTGCTCCCCATCCCGTGAGTAGCCCCCCAACTCCTTCGCCTCCAAATCTCTCTCTACTCCCTTGTTTTTCCAGTGCCCCCCGCCCCGCCCTGCTGTAACCCTCCTGGCATCGAGTGTGACCTCTGACCTTTGATTCCCAGGAGATCTCCGCAGCCCCCTGGGGATTCCCACCGGATGCCGTCTTCCCGGAGGGACTCTGGTGGCGGTAAGTGTGGCAGGGCACCCCCACTCTGCCGGGAAGGCAGGGGTGCCTCCAACTACTCACAGGGCGGTTTGATCAAACTCACAGGGATATACAAACTGGCAAGAGACACGGGTGGGGGCTGGAGCCGAGCCAGACCCCCCACCCCCAGCCCAGCCCTCCGTGGGGAATTGCGGGGGACAGGCACAGGGTGGAGGGGACCCACTCACCCATCCGAGGAAGCCCAACCCTGAGCTGACTCAGTTTCCCTCTTGCTCTCTCCTTGAAGCCCAGAGCGTGGCGAGCTACGAGAACGAGGGTACGTTTGGGCTGCCGGGGGCGGCGGGGTTGGGGGGCCCAGCCGGGTGGGGAGGCGGGGGCCTGTCTCGGGCTGTGCTGAGCTCTCCCCACCCCGTGTCGTTGCCCGCAGAGCTGGCCTGTGAGGACGCGGATGAAGATGAGGATGAGGAGGACTCTCACAATGAGGGCTACCTGTGAGTGGCAAGGGGGCAGGTGGGCAGGTGGGTGCTGGGGCCCCGGGCGAGCTTCCTCACCCCCTCCCCCATTGGTTCACTCTCAGGGAGGTGCTTCCCGATGACAGCCCGGCCACCAGCGGCCCTGGCCCCTCCGCCCCTGCGCCCGGAAACCCTGGTCTCCGAGACAGTGCCTTCTCCAGTGAGTCAGGAGGTGCCGGCCCCCCCCCCCCCGCATGCTCCCCTGCCCTGTGAAGGTTTTAGCGACCCCGCTCCCCTGTGCTCCCTCTCCAGGGCTCCCCTGCTGCAGGTGCCGGACTTCTGCCCTGGCCTTGATTTCTCCTTTATTGTCTGGGAGATGTCCTTGCCTTTATTCGCAGCCCTTGTGCTGTATATATGTTTTCCCCTCCTATCCAGTTCTTTCTGGGTCTCTGCATGTTCCTTTTTTGTAGCCCCCTGTTCTTGTTTCATGGAGGCAATAGCATCTTGTACATTTCTGTTTTTTTTTTTAACTAAAGATTAAAAAGAAATTTTGCAAAAATGTATTTTGAGAGGCAGTGGCTCAGATGCCGGCAACAGCCAAGGCTCAGCCTAACTGAAGCCTGGAACCTGGAACTCAGCCATGTGCGCGGCAGAAACCCAGCCGCTCGAGCCGTCCACGGCTGCCTCCCAGGGTACACCGCAGCAGGAAGCCGGAACTGGGAGTGGAGGGGGAGGGGCAGGGGGCTCCAGCCCAGGCTCTCTGAGCTGGGAATACAGGTTGTGGGCATCCCCCGCAGGGTCTTCACCGCTGTGCCCAGTGCCCACCGCCATCTGGTCGGTCTGAGGACCTGATGGTGTGTGTGTGTGTGTGTGTGTGTGTGCGCGCACACATGGCTGGGGGAGGGGGCGCCTTTTCCTCTGCTCCCCTTGGAGCTGCCTTTCTCCCTTCAGTTTGGTTTCACCCCGGGGCTTTTCTCGCCTGCTACGTGTGCTGGTCCCTGGCTCCCGCACCTGCAAGCTGCCGTCCCTCACCATCCCAAGTCCTGGGCTGCATCAGTTTGTCCCAGTGCTGCTTCCCATCCATCCATCCATCCATTCATTCACTTGTCACCCATTGTCCTGCAAATGCCTCCATGGGGCTGAGGCCAGGCTGTGACAGCCACTGAGGCAAAGCACAGAGACTTCAGCGTCTCGTGCTGGCTGAGGGCTGCCACTTTATTTATTTGAGAGGCAGAGTTACAGAGAGAGAGAGAGACAGACAGACAGACAGAGAGAGGTCTTCCATCCGCTGGTTCACTCCCCAGATGGCCGGAGCTGGGCTGATCCGAAGCCAAGAGCCAGGAGCTTCTTCCGGGTCTCCCACACAGGTGCAGGGGCCCAAGCACGTGGGCCGTTTTCTGTTGCCTGAGGTTGCACAGTGTTGGTGCTGGAGTTGGGTCTTGAGCTTGGGTGAGCGGCCAGAGTCTCTGGTTTTGAGGCCCGACCTGTCCATGTCTCTGTGACATGACGCCACAGACGGCTCACAGAGTGACGCTGAGGGTGACCAGTGTCCAGGAGGGGCTTGAGGGACGGGGGCCAGCAGCTGGGGCAGGCTCCGTGACACTGCTGTCAGCCCCCTTCTGTGCGCATGCTCTGAGCTGCTGTCTGTCCCCGCGGCCCAGCCCGGGGGCCATGTGCGCATGCTCTGAGCTGCTGTGTGTCCCTGCCGCCCAGCCCGGGAGCCGTGCTGGGGTCCCCGTCTCCCCGGGGCCGCTTGGGCCACCTCTGTCTGGCCCCGGCCCTCACCCTGGCCACTGCCATTGCTCCTTTCGCGTCCCCATGGGACTGCCTGGGAGTCGGGCACCCGAGGCTAGGGGATCTCTGGGGCCGGGCTGACGCTGCTGGGGCGGGGTGGGCCCTGCTGGTCTCTCCACAGTGGAGTCTGGCGATGATTACGTGAACGTGCCTGAGAGCGGGGGCAGTGCAGACGCGTCCCTGGGTGAGTGACCGGGGCGCCCTGCTGGCCTTCCCCCAACCCCTTGCAGACTCAGGGTGGGGCACCCACAGCCCTCCCTCGGTCCCTCCTCTGACCTGTCCCCACAGATGGGAGCCGGGAGTACGTGAACGTGTCCCAGGAGCTGCCCCTGGAGGCCAGGATCCAACCTGGTGAGTGCCAGGGCAGGGGGCTACAGAGGCTAGGGGCAGGGTGGGGGTGGCCCTGGAGGCTGGAGCCCACCCTCTCCTCTCCCCATAGCCACGCTGAGTGCCCCAGAGGCTGGGGACCAGGAGGAAGACGAGGAAGCTCCAGATTATGAGAATCTACAGGGCCTTAATTGAAGATGGGGGACCTGGTGAGAGGCCCTCCCTGCCCGTCCACCCTGCCCTGGGCACCCCCCTTGCATCCCCTCCCTGCCCCCGGGGGGCTGGTCCTGCGGCTCTCCTGCCACCTTCTGACCCAGCTCCCTACCTTGTCTTTCAGCCTGCGGCCACACCCCCAGACCCAGCCTTGCCGGGACCCCTGGGCTAGGCAGCTGCCTCTGGATCCTCCAGTGGAGGGAAGGGGGCGGGGGACCCCTTGGCACCCTGCCCGACAACAGCCTGAGAATTCTCCCCCTAACTTATTATCACTTTGGGGTCCAGCCTGTGCCCCCCTCCCCCAGTTCTCTGCACCTTCTGACACAGCCTGAGAACAAAGTCCCCCGTCCCTGCCCTACCTTTTGTAAGAGAAGAAAGGTCCGTGTGTGGTTGGCTTTGGGGAGGGGGCCGCGTGTGTCCCTGTCCTCTGTGTGTGCGTCCTGGGGCTCCCCTCTGCAGGGGCTCCCTCTCCCCCTACCCCTGGGGTCCCAGCCAGGCTCCGTGAGAGGGCAGCTGGCGATGGAGGGGTCTCACCTTCTGCGTGGGGCCTGGGACCCCAGTCGGCACTTGTGGGGCTCGAATAATCTCCGTCCTCAGCGGGGAGGGAGGTCCCCATGGGGCGGGGGTGCAGCCACTGGCTGTGCTGGTGGTGGAGCAGGGCGCTACCAGCCACGCCCTGCCCTGCCGCTCCTGGCCTCAGTTTCTCCATCCTCACTCACCGGACCTGACCTCCCAGGACTCTCCTACTCCGTAACCTGTTGTGGTCCTCAATAAAACAGAACAGTGAAAATGGCCTTGGCGACTGTGAAAGATCCCGTGCCACGCGGTGCAGCTCAGACGCTGCTCACCCAGGTCGCGCTCACTTTCTGAGCGTCCAGTTCCAAGGGCTGGGTGGGGTGGGGCCTAGGACGCCCATGTGGTTCCAAAACTACGCTCCCACAAGCCACACCTCGGGGAGGGAGCGGTGTGGTAGAGACCTGTATTTTTAAAATAATTATTTATTTGAAAGGCAGAGTTACGGAATGAGAGAGAGAGAGAGAGAGCCTCCACCTGCTGGTTCACTCTCCAAATGGCTGCGGTGGCTGGGGCTGAGACAAATTGAAGCCAGGAGCTTCTTCCTGGTCTACGTGGGTGCAGGGGCCCAAGGACTTGGGCTGCCTTCCCAGGTGCATTAGCAGGGAGTTAGTAGGATTGGAAGTGGAGCAGCTGGGATTCGAACCAGGCTTCATATGGCTGCTAGTGTCACAGGCAGCAGCAGTTTAACCTGTGCCACGGTGCTGCCCCAAGACCTGTTTTTTTTTGTTTGTTTGTTTGTTTTTTGGTTTTTTTTTAAGGATTTATTTATTTATTTATTTGAAAGAGTTACAGAGAGGCAGAGGCAGAGAGAGAAGAGAGACAGAGAGAGAGGTCTTCTATCTGCTGGTTCATTCCCCAGATGGCCACAATGGCCAGAACAGCACCGATCTGAGGCCAGGAGCCAGGAGCCAGGAGCTTCTTCCGGGTCTCGCATGCAGGTGCAGGGGCCCAAGGACCTGGGCATCTTCCACTGCTCTCCCAGGCCACAGCAGAGAGCTGGATCGGAAGTGGAGCAGCTGGGACACGAACTGGTGTCCATATGGGATGCCAGCACTGCAGGCAGCAGCTTTACTCACGACGCCACAGCATCAGCCCCTAGACCTTTGTTTTGACCTGGCTGGGATCCACTTCCCATAATCATGGGATTTCTGCCTCAGTTTCCCTCTGGGATCTCATTGTGTTTGGTTGGCGAGATTGGGCCATCCTACCCCACCCCCACCCCCACCCAGGAGGTGAGCACCTGCGTTGCACCTGGACCACAGCTGCCGCCCTGCCCCCAGCCACCGTGCGGGCCCAGGTCCAGGCATGCAGGGAAGCTGGGCGTGGGAGGAGCAGCTCTGGGGGTTGGGCCAGAAGTGCTGGAGAGAAGCAGCTCTTGTTCACGGCCGTTCCTAAGGATCTGATCCTGAAGCTGGTGCCAGGAGAGCCTGCCCCGTGCCACCGACAAGGGCAGTGTGGTCCCAGACAGACAGGGCCAGCTCCTAGTGGTGACGTTAGAACTCCTGGATGCAGCCACACCTGAAGCAAGACCCACGCCGCCCCCCAAGGCTTCCCAGTTGCATGGGCCTTAAGTGATGGCTTTCTCCTTCCAGCCTGGCTTGGGGTTCCTGTCACTGCCCCCACAGGCGCTCTGATGGACACCCAGATCTGGAGCTTCTCTGTGGATCTGTCTCTCACTTCTCTCACTTAACTGCGTGACACCCCCGCCCCCATCACTGTCAGTAACCCTGTTTCTCAGGTAGCAAAACAGCCTTGCAGGAGTGGAGCCGAAGAGGTGGCTCTGGGTGCTGCTCTGAGCCTGGCCCACTCCGGGACCCGGCTCAGCAGCCCCCGTTGCCCTGGTAACTGGGCAGCCTGCCGATGGGGAAGCAGTCAGAGCTGATGGGGTGCGAGGGTCTGGGAAAGTGATCACACAGGCTGGACATCAGCTGGTGGCGTGAAGTCCTTTTATGTGGAAGAATCGGAATGAGCTGAGGCGCCTTTGTGCCTGGGTGGAGGGGACCGAGACACGCTGATGAAGCCACCTTGGGGGACCTTGGCCGCCGTGTGTGCCTTTCCCCTTGCTAGCAAGTTCCTGGGTCTGAACCCTGAGCAGCTGCGGCGCCTGGGCCGGGAAGGCAGGTGCAAGCAGTGTTGTCATGGCTACGGCTGGACACAGCCTGGACCCCAGTCCCCGGAGGAGGGGTGGGAAAGGCGCGGTGCAGGCACGTGGCAGCCGCTCCCCAGCGGCCAGTGGGTGGACGGGCAAGGCTGGGTGGTGTGGATGGGTATCGTCTGTTCGTCTGAGCCGTCATCCCTGCTGCCTCCCAGGGTGCACCTGGGCAGGAAGCTGGGAGCTGGAGTGGAGCCGCGACACAGACTCAGGTGCTCTCTTGGGATGTGGGCAGCCCCAGAGGCAGACTTACTCCTGCCCCTCTGAGACGCCTGCATGAGCATCATCCCGACTGTCACCATCACCATCGTGTGGCGCCCGGCCTGCCTCTTCACCCAGCGCCCGCCTCCCTCCTCTGTCCCCTCAGAGAGCTCTCTGGGCTTTCACAACTCGTTTTATTTATTCAGTCATTCGTTTATATTTATTTGACAGGGAGGTAGACAGAGCCCCCATCCCACGGTTCACTCTCCAAATGCTGGCAGGAGTGAGATGCCCACCAGCAGCTTCCGGTTTGTGTCCTCTCTCTCTGCCTCCGTGAGCGCTCCATCTCCCGTCTTTCCCTCCTGTGTGGTCACGCATTGGTTCCGGGCAGCTCCAGGAACCTCAATCTCCCCGGTGCCCACAGGGAGCCCAGCACGCACAGAACGTCCCAGCATCTTCAGCAAAGGCCCTGAACGTGCGTTGCTGGGGCTGGCTTGGGACACGTGGCTTCCTGACCGAGTCCCTGGCCGGGAGCACACCACCCCATCTCCAAGAGACTGGAAGTGGGGTCCAGAGAAAGCTGGGGGGCCATGGGCTGGTAGGAGACAGGATGCCCACTGGGACACATTTATCCCACTCTTCCTGTGTGCGCCACACTCAGTGTTACCCCGAACCTCACAACAGCTCTGTCTGTAGCGTACGAGGAGCCAGCCCTGCTCTGTACAAAAGCAAGCAGGCTCAGAGAGGCCAGGTGGCTTGCTTAGGGTCACACAGCAAAGCCCACAGCCTGCTCAGAAGTTGGTGGGAAAAGGAGAGAGCAAAAAGGCAAATCCGAAACGAAATTCACCGAGGGTCAGAGTGCCTTTTGCTAAAACTCTGGGGGAATGAAGCTCCTTTTTTTTTTTTTTTTTTTTTTCCCAGCTGGGATCACTCAACAGGTAGGTCAGGGGCATGCGAGAGGGCAGCTGGCCGAGGGAAGGCAGCACAGAGGGAGGTGGGTTGCGTGAGAACACGCATCAGAGTCCTGGATCCACTCATTCCTGAAGCTGGCTCTGCCCGTGAATGGCTCAGTGATGTGGGTTAACGAACACTTCTCTGGCTTGGCTCAGCTTCAGCTGGCTTTGTGTCGTTTGCAAATGAAAGAGCCGTGACTCACAGAGACAGGATGCCGTGGGAGCGTGGGAGCGCCACCTTCATCAACAAGGGCCCCTCCTCCAGGCACCTGCCCTGTGCCCCGCCCGTGCCGCCAGCAAGTGCTCCAGACACTCAGGCCTCTGCCCCTGGCCCTGGGCTAGGTTCATTCGCCTTGATTTGGATAGTCGGAAATGAAGAGGCCCAGAGGAGGCAGATGGCCAGACCACGAGGCTGCCCTGCCCACAGCGCCCCTCTCTCCAGCTCGCCCCCAGCTTGGTGGGCAGCTGAGGCCTCTCACAGGGTGCCTTCTGCCCACCCAGGCCCTCACTGGGGCTGTGGGCACCGGGACTGTCCAGGAGGGTGCCATCCCTTGGGGGCTGGCAGGGCCTTGGAGCCCCGGGCCAGAGGGTCCTGGCCTCTTCCCTAGGGGCCCTCCTGCCCCCTTGCTGGGGCTCTGAGTCCGCCTTCAGGGCCTGGCAGGCCTCTGAGTGTTCTCACCCCTCCCCCGCCCCCGGCTCTCAAGTTCACCCGCTTGCTCTCTGTTTTCAGGTCCCCCGCAACACCCTGCACCCCGGTGTGCCCCCGCCGCGGTCCCACGCACTGCTTTCATTCTTGTCTCGGCCTCTGCCTCTCTTTGCCCCCGTGTCTCGGGGCCACCGCCCCTGTCTCGCTCTGTGTCTCTCTCCATCCCTGCCTCTCTCGCTCTCTGCTTCTCCATCTTCTGCTGAGTTTCTCTCGGTCTCAGAAGTCTCTCTCTCTCTCTCTCTCTCTCTCTCTCTCTCTCTGGTTCTCGGGCTCCCTCCTCCTCCTCTCCCTGCCCCTCCCTCCCCACATCCTGAGTTGTCTTGGGGGAGCCGGAAGGATCAGAGAGAGAGATATCAGGACGTTCAGCTGCTGCGGGACCGAGATAATGTGGGGGGTGGGGCAGGTGGGGGTGGGGGCCCAGGCTCCCACTCTTGGCCTGGCCCGAGGCGCGATGGCAGGCAGGGGAATTGTGTCACCACCGTGCCGGCCTCACTCTTCCTTCCTGAGAGCTGGGCCTTGCACCTGCTACTGTCCCCGGGCGGCTGTGAGCAGGGATTCGGGGCTGAGGGCAGGAGCGGGTGTACAGCAAGGGGCTGAGAGGAGGGAGGCTCCGGCCAGGCATGGCGGGGGGGTCTTCTCCCAGGGGCTCCCCCTGGTGTCCCTGCGGGCTGGGCTTGGTAGCACTTGTTCCGTGTTGGGCCTCCTAGTGTTTTCCTTTTTCTTTCTATTTTATTTGTTTTAAAGGCAGAGACCCAAAATGCCCGCAACAGCTGGAGCTGGGCTAGGCTGAAACCAGGAGCTGAGAGCTCCGTCCTGGTCTCCCATGTGGGTGCAGGGACATGATCAGAAAGCCGGAATGGAGAGCGGAGGCAGGACTCGAACCTAAACACTCAGCAGAGCCCCAAATGGGGTCTTAGCTGATGGCGCCAAACGCCCCCTCCCTCCATGTCCCCCACCCCCATTCTCCTCCCAACTGTTTGAGTCTGCCTAACAGCTTGGGACACCAAGACACAGAGCAGTGGAGTGGCCCGCCCACGGGGACCTGCAACAAGACAGGACTCTGATCCAATTAGATGGGCTGCCTCCCAGACGGGCAGGCTGTGTGCACGCCCATTTTTTAAAAGATTTATTTGTTTATTTGAGGGGTAGAGTTACAGAGAGAGAGAGAGAGAGAGAGAGAGAGGTCTTCCATCCGCTGGTTCAC